GCGCTTGTGTTGGACCTTCGTGCGGTAGCGTCGGGTGTGTTTGTGTTTCGAATGGTACCTTATGGATTTTGTGCTCGGTGGTTGCTTTATTTATAAAGCGGGGCCAAAGCCTTTTTCGATAAGAAGAGGCTCCCTCGCTCACTTGCCTAGCCACATCGGTTACTCCTTTCCCAAAGATCCGACTAAAAAGTAGCACCCTGAGGCGAAGATCTCGCGTTCTGTGTCGCTGCAGTTTAATCGAGATAGGATTGCCGTGTCTTGGAGAGGCGCTAGTAACATTTTGGCATGGCACTAATCTCTGTTCCTTCCTTTGACCAAGAACTGGCATTCATACGCATTGACTGCACGCACGCACGCACGCACGGACGGACGCCCACCTACGGTTCCGTGTGTTCCTCTGACCTGCGCCATTCCTGTCCGCGTCGCGCGCTAATCACGTCGGCGTCGGTGTCCCCGTCTGGTTTGGCGCAGCTTGACAAATTTCTGGGGTTATATAGCCGGCCTAGCCATCTTTGTTTACTCGAATCTTCGCCCTGCCTAACCGCATGAGCATTGTCTGATTCGGCACGCACCGTGAGCGAAACCTTGCTGGTTGGTAAGGTTGTGTTATATGTGATCAGGACGTTCCGCGGTGCTGTGTCGTGCCGGCATATGGTTCCGGGCAAGCAAGACCCAAGCTCAGGGCCTGGACTCGATGCCATCAGCGCTCCGCAGCCTGCACTGTCGGCCATCACCGCATCAATTGGCTACGCAAACTGCATCCCTCAGATGCTCATTAAGAGGCAGGCCAGAACGACAGTGTTGCTGTTCAGCACCGCACTAAGCAAAAGAAATCCCAAGGGCTCCTGCGTGCAGATATGCAATCAACCTACCAGACAACAGTTTATCTAAAGAAAACTACCGGATGACGGTTTATATCTAGAAAAAAAGACATACCATATGACAAATAAATCGTCGTATCAGTTTTCAGAAACGAAAATTGGCCGGACCCTTTATTTGAAAGAACAAAATATGACAAATAAATCAACACACTAGAACACCATCATCACCGCACCGCCAACATGGGAGAAGAAGATTCTTGTGAGTTGAAGACTGTAACAGCAGTGTTGGCGACACCTTCCTGATTGTTTTGAACCGCAAGGATACGCCCAAAACAACGGGATATCAGTTTCAACATTGAATTTGGGAGCGTTGAGTTCACAAAATAAACCAGGGAACAAAGTACAGTTTATATATGAGACCGATTAGAAATGACTAACTACCAAAGATAAGAAACTGCAAGAACACAAGCTTTGCGCATGGTTGATCAGGAAACTTACCTATGAAAATGGGCTTAAGACAAAATGCTTATCATAGCTTCAGTAAGAAGCAAACTTTGTACATCAACATCAGGAAACTGACCCGCGGAAGGCCTGAATAACAAGGTGGCTCATATATTCTCATAGTGTCTTCCATGGTTGATAAAGCCAGATGACAGAAATGAAAGATGAAAATAGCCTGGACTCCAGGAGTGACAGGGGACAAAGATAGGCCTCATTAGGGATCAGAGGAATTGTGGAAATACTTCCATCGCTCGTATACAAAGAGAGGTGCCACTGCCAAATAGTTTGTCTAATAACGATGATCATCCACCTGAACAGCACACAGAAAGTAACAATCTGCTACTACCAGATAGGCTAAGCTTGACATGAGCAAATGGACAGCACAGCACAGCACTGAGCACTGGTCAGTCAATAAGGCGCGGCATCAACCGGACAATCCACCAAGGCTTAAACCTGGGGCACCGCACTGCCTTCTAATTAAAAGAAATGCACAAAGAGTAACATTGACGGAGTTGTACAGGTAACACTTACTTCATACTCCCTCCGTCCGGAGATACATCCATTCCTCGGACAAGTATTTCTGGACGGAGGGAGTACATGATTCTAGTCCTAACATTTAACAACACTGGTGTATTTTGATATAACCACAAAACAATTGTTTAGTTGATTACATACTCCCTCCGTCCGAAAATACTTGTCTTGAAAATGGACAAAAAATTGATGTATCTAGAACTAAAATACATCTAGATACATCATCTTTTATTCATTTTGATGACAAGTATTTTCGGACGGAGGGAGTACTTAATTGCATAGTTTGAACTCTTGGAAGAATTTGGAGGACACTCTCAAAGCCTAGCGGTGCCATACTGAAGTCAATTTCATTACTGTTAAAGGAGGTCGGCTCCTACCATCTTCTTAGGAAGCAAGAATCTGAACTGTGAGAAATCACTAGTTCACCTACTATCCTACTCCCTCCGTTCAGAATTACTTGTCTCGGAAATGGATGTATCTAGAACTAAAATACGTCTAGATACATCCATTTCTGCGACAAGTAATTCCGAACAGAGGGAGTAATTCATACAGTTCTGCCTTGCTTGGTTTATAATTCTACAACTCTACTGCCACGTAATTAAAGGAGGTCCGCTCCTACCATCTTCTTATGAAGCAAGAATCTGAATTGTGAGAAATCACTAGTTCACCTACTATCCTAATTCATAAAGTTCCTCCTTGTTTGGTTTACAACTCTACTAGCTCGTTATATGATCAAATATGAAGACCAGTTCACAAAAGGAGGACAAAGCTCACTACAGCAAATGAAAAATAGTACTCCTTCCAATCCATAATAGTTGTCGCTTGGACGGATGTATCTAGCACTAAAACACGTCTAGATACATCCATTTCAGCGACAACTAATATGGATCGGAGGGGAATACTTGACAATGCAAAGAATCCATTCTGGAATGGAGCTACAACTATTCACCTCTAGTTTGGCAAACTAGTAACCTGACAAACTAGAACTATTGAAGCTGATCATTGATCAAAGGCCTTTTAACTTCATGTATGTCATAACATCTGCACTGTCCATGCTTCAAAGAGAAATACTAAAATAAACAATAAGAATCAAAAAATTGGGAGATACTACATGATTATCTTCATCGCAGAGCTAACAGTTGAATCATCAATGTCCAGAAAATAAAAGTATCCATAAAGTACACAACTTTTGGAGGATGTTTCCAAACACAAATATTAGATCCATACAAAGAAATTGATGCAACGAGGAAAAACAGCACAGGCAAGTCATTGCAGATAAGAATAAAGACTTCCGTGGATCTCTTCTAAAACGAATAGAAAGAGTTTCAATAAGCATCACAGCACAGGGCAAGCTTAACCAATACCATATTAAACTAGTTTAACCACTACTTTAACTTGCACTTTTTGTTGTATCATGCCAACAGAGGAACCGAGTAAAACAGGCCATGGTGAAATTTGGCATGCATCAGTAAAAGTCTGACCTATGAATTTATTTTTCAGTCTCGTGTTCCACTTCACACTCTTCTTCTGATATTGCTTCTTCGTCATCAGTTTCAGCTCTTAATTGACTGACTTTTGTACCATCAGGCATCCTCAAACCCTTTCGGGGGTAGTACTTCTTCCGCCCCAGCACAACAATCTTGGCAGCCTCCTCCACCCTCGATTCATCCACCAATGCATTCACTACATCCTGCAGCACACCACACTCTACTCTAAGGTTCCTTTTATGACTAAAGATTTTATAACAGTACGTCAGTGCACAATCCAGCTCTCCAGCCTGCAGAAGGTGTGGCAGGAGAGTCTCATATGTTCCCTTATTTGGGGCACACTCATTTTTTACCAAATCATCATACAGCTTCTTGGCCTCCTGTAACTTCCCCGCTTTGCAATATCCTCGAATCAACTCGTTGTAGGATACCGTATTAGGTTTTGGCCCATCCTTCTCCAATCCCTCAAGCACAGCAGCTGCATCATCAATCCTCCCTTCTGCAACCAAACCCCGGAGCTTGGCATTGTAGCACTTGGCGTCTGGCTCCAAATTCCTCTCCTTGATCATCTCCCATACTGTCTCTGCTTCATCGAAGCGGCCATTGTTGCAAAACCCATTCAACAGCGTGTTGAAAGTAATGATGTCAGGTGAAACACCGTGCTTCTCCATGAGAAGGACAGTCTCAAGAGCAGCCGAGATGTCTGGCTTCTGGCACAATGCGTGGATGAGTACATTGTAAGAGTATACAGTGGGAGCAATCGAGGGGTAAGTGGCTGGGATCTCCTGGAATGCAGCAGTGAGCCCGTCAAAATCTCCGGCGTCGGCGTAACAGGAAAGAAGGGAGTTGAATGTCATGTTGGATTTATGCTGCGCGGGAAGCTTGTGGAAGGTTGCGGCGGCGTGGGATGGCATGGAGGCACGGCCGTAGAGGCGGATGAGGCGCGTGGCGAATCCCTCGGCTGAGGTCTCGAGGAAGGGCAACTGCGCTTCGATGATGGCCTCGATGCCGTCTTGGCGGCCGAGGGAAGCGAGGCGGCTCACCGCTACCTCGAACACGCGGTACCGGTCGCGGAAGCGCGACGACACGGTTGACGCTTGGATGAACCCGGAGATCAGCTTGTCAGGGTCGCGCTGCCGGCTGAGGGCCTTGACGAGAAGCCCAAGGGGCTTCGGGAGCTTGTGCTTCCCGTCGGACTCAGCTTTGGCGGCATGCGGTCCGCCGAGGGGCTTCGGGGACTTCTTCTCCGCTATGGAGCCAGCGTCGGCGGCGGGCGGCTTCGGCTTCGGCGCGCTCTTGGTCTTGGGATTGTGCTTGGGTGGTTTTACGATCGGCGAGGAGGAGGAGAATATGCGGGAGAGGCTGTTCGCCCGGGTGGAGGCGGTGGCGGTGGCGGCGGCGGCCGCCGCGGCGGCGGTGGCCATGGGAAGGCGGCGGGCGGTGGGGGTTTGGGGCGAGAGGAGTGGGGAATGAATGGGCGAAGGAGGGTTTTGCCGGCTCATTTCGATGCTGTGCTTCTTAATTAGGCCATCAAAATGTTGGCCCGTATGACCGTTTCCCAGCCCAGCCCAGCCCAACCGAACCACAAAGAGAAGGCCTCGAATGCACAGGCCGGTCCATTACCACCCGGTGGCGCTGGCTCGACCGACCCGCGCCGGCGATGGACAGGCACGTCCGGCGGCTGCTGAACCGCGTGGCGATCGCCCTGGCGGCCGTGGCCACCGCCGCCCTGCTGCACCTGTTCCGCCACCCGTCCACCTCCTGCTTCGGCGGCTCGCTCGCCCGTTCCTCCCTCTCGCTGTCGATGGCGCCCTTGCCCCGCACCTCCTGCGACGCCGCGTCCCGCCGCGTGGTCGACCCCGACCTCCGCCTGGCCAAGCTCCGGTCCTCCCCGCGCTGGCGGCGGCACAGCGCGGCCCTCTCCGCGTCGGTCATCGATCCGCTCCGTCGGCTGCGCCTCCTCCGCGGCTCCTCGCGCGTCCTCTGCCTCGCCGCCGGCGCGGGGCAGGCGGTCGACGCGCTCCGCGTGGCCGGCGTGGGGGACGTCACCGGCGTTGATCTCGTCGACTTCCCTCCCCTCGTGCGCCGTGCGGACCCGCACAACCTCCCGTTCTTCGATGACGCCTTCGACCTCGCGCTCTCCAGCGACCCGGCGGCGCTCACCGGCGCGCTTTTCCCGTCCAGGTTCGCGTCCGAGATCGAGCGCACCGTCCGCCGTGGCGGCGCGATCGCCATCGCCGTAGACCGGCACGTCGACCTCTCCGTCATCTTCTCCCTCTTCAGAAAGTCACGCCTCGTCGATGTGAGGAATGCTACCTTGGATGGCTCCGCGGCCAGCATAGTTGTCCTCAGCACCAACGCGGAGCGCCTTTGATTCCGTTTGTTTCTTTTGCACATAGGATTGCTTGGTGAACTTTTGGTTGAGATGCTTGAGTGACTCTTTCTGGAACCTGGAAGTGATGCTCGAGTATTCAGTAGTGGACGTGTAAGTACGACGAAGGAATGGAGAAAAAAATGAAACTGCATATGGACATTGTTTGGTCTGCACTGCAATGCTATGTTGATATCCTCAGCCCTTTGTATTGGATGATGTAGTTGGGGCCTTAGAGCAAGTACTCCCTCCGTTCGGAATTACTTATCGCAGAAATAGATGTATCTAGACGTATTTTAGTTCTAGATACATCCATATCCGAGACAAGTAATTCCGAATGAAGGGAGTACAATAGTAGGCTTATAGACTGCTTATGGCAATTTCGCTTATGTGAAATATAGAGACATGAAAAGGTAAGGGACATAGTCGGATTTACTACTGGGACCGTGGGTGCTATGGAAGCATAGAAATTCATGGTGTTCGATGGTGTATCACCCTCGGTCACTGTTGTTGCTGCTCACTTTGAGTTGGAGTGTCGGGCATGACGCGAGGCGCGTCTTATCAAGGGGGGGCATGGGTCGGTCCTTAGGAGTGGTACCCGCGTGGGTTAGGCGCGAGTAATCCACCTCTTGTTTTCTAGAGTGGAGTGGAGCATGATGTAAACAATGTAACACCACATGGTGGATGGAAAACGTTTCGCTTCTGCGCACTGGCCGAACGCCTTGGCCGGTCGCTTTCCGAGCGACGCTCACGGGGCCACACACATAGCTCATCCCATCCATCCCTTTTCCCTTATCCATCCACGCACAGATCTCCTCTTTCCTTCCTCTGTTTTTCCCCATCACCTACTTCTCCGCCATGGCTGCACCACCGACGACGCCCATCTCCTCCCCTTTCCGCCATGTGGTGGCCATGGTCGGTGCCCACCTTCCCCCTCCTGCCGTTGCGGTGCTGCACCCCCTCCCCACTTTTTCTGACTTTTGTACCCTATTATGCCGTGACCCAACATCGACGTCCGACACTGTTGCCCCCTTTGTGCTAGATGGTGGCCATGACGCCGGCCGGGGATGTTTCAAACGGCGAGGGCGGCGCAACCGGCGGGGCGGCGGAGAGTGGGTGTATCGTGATGATTTTTTTGCTACAACCGTCATCCAGTTTTGCTATTACCGACCCAAAATTTGCTACAAGGATTTTTCATGGCGAAGCTGCAACCACGACGGCGGTGACGAAGTTTTGCTACATCCTTCGCCGTATTTTGCTACGACCGGCAAGATTTTTTGCTACAATGATTTCATGGTGAAGCTACAACCGCGACAGTGCTGACAAAGTTTTGCTGCATCCATCGCCAGATTTTGCTTCGACCGGCGAGGAATTTTGCTACAATCGGCGTTTTGTGGCTGGCGGCGGCTACAACCATGACTGACAAGATGCAACCACGACCACCGGCGTCGCATTTTTGCTACAACCACGTTGCCTTTTGCTACAACCGGAGTCGCTCTTTGCTACAACCGTCCGTCGGTGATGTGGAACTGGCAGTGCGAGGAGCTGCGAGAGGCAGATGGGGATGCTACAACCGGTCTCCGGAGATGCTGGAACCTGCTGTGCGAGGAGCTGCGAGCAGCAGTGGGGATGCTACAGTTGTCTAGGTGTGAAGCAATAACCCCTAGCATTCTTTTGCTAGAAGCGGCCGCCGGCGAAGCTACAGCCTTCATCGGTGGATGCTACAACCACCAATGGCGGGAGCTACAAGCAGCGATGGCGAGATGGAAAGACGTGGCCATGGAGTCGATTTGCTGGGACGGGGCACGACGGTGATGGCGGAGCTGCAACGGCGGCTGATGGTGGAGATGCGACGGTGTGCCGCGGTGCTGCAACCACGAGGCGGTCAGGGGAGCTGCAATGGCGACCTTGGGCACGACGACCACCTCGGGCACGACGCCGACAACCTCGTGCGCGACAACGGCGAGGCGTGCGGTTGCGACAGCACAACGGACGGTGCGAGCCGGCGGTGCTTCGTGGTCGCGCATCTCCTCTCTCCTTCCCCCGACTGGCTCGCTTCTCTCTGTATGTGCAGGAGGCAAGGATAAGGTAAAAAAAGGTAGAAGAGGAGCTGCGATCTGACAGTCTCGCGCGGCCGGATCGGGCGGCTAGGGGCAGACCGGACGAAACTTTCGGCCGGCGCACCGGCGCCCAGTGCTGGCCATGGTGGATTTGGGGCTAGCCCCACCCTTCTTTTTATATAGTATGATACGAGTGCGTATTCGAGAAAAAAAAGTAAAGAGAATGGGCCCTCATACAGTCTGATAGATACAATAAATATAAAAAAAGAGATATAGAGAATATGAAAAAAAAAGTACTAGTCTTGTAGTTAACCATGTTGTATAAGTGATTATAAATGACATGGCAATATCATATAGCAAATAATTGGTTGTACTCTTAACCATGTTCCTACTAGTGTTAAAGCCGATGTGCCTCATAAAATTAAGGAGGTGTTTGTTTCGGATATTTTTGTCTGTTACCAATTTACAGAGTAAACGGAAGACGTTACATGCATTTTGTAAATGCACGTCGTAACCACCTAGCTCCGTAAACGAGTCCAGGCAAGGGGCATGTTCTTTTCACGCAAGACTCTGCAGAATCAACAAAATTCCAGAAAAAACTGCAACAATCTATCGTCCAGTTCTTTTATGAGATTGCAGCTTGAGATTGTGGCCCTAAGTTGTGTGCTAAAATGTTTGTGCTACCCTTAGAGAGATTTTTTTATGAATTGTTTACACTTTGTTGTTTCATACAGCAACTGGTCAAATATGAGCATGAAAGTGATCTACAAATATCATAAAGTGCTAAATATTACTCCCTTCGGTACTTTTTAGTTCGCATATAAGATTTGACTGAAGTCAAGCCTCGTAAAGTTTGACCAACTTTATAGAAAAAAGTATCAACATTCACAATCTGAAATCAATACCAATAGATGTGTCATGACTTAAAGTTTCATATTGTATAACTTTAGCATGGCAGATGTTGATATTTTTTCATATAAATACGGTCAAATTTTGTGAAGTTTGACTTCAGAGAATTCTAATATGCAGAGTAAAAAGGTCCGCAGGAAGTACAATTAGAATGTTTTTTGAAGTTCTGTTCATTACAAAAGTGGGCGAACTGCAAATAGAACAATAATCTCAAGGTACGAGACTGCAGCAATAGGCTCACTGGTTGCGGTCATGTACCATCACCTTTCGATGGTAGAGCGTTGGCACCTACAAACAACAATGGAGGTTGCACATATGCATCACTGTCAAATTTATCGAAATGCTCATCACGTTGACATGCTAGCACAAATCCAATTGTGACGACACATGCATGCAGTGACAATCATTTTTTGGGTCTTCGGTTTGTACCGTGGTATGCCTTCAAGAATTCACCATTTCATCTTGAGAACACCAAATGCTCTTTCCATGACATTTCACAAAGAAGAATGACGATGGTTGAATGTCTCATGTCTCCCCATGGACTGGTGTTGTTGAAAGTCTAGTACATGGCATCGTTGTCCTTGTATGGTGCTAGATATCTGATATCTGGAGTCCACGAGGTAATATTTATCTACAAGTACGACATCAATGAAGACATTAGAAATTTACAACATACCATCGTGTATATAACAACATGGATACATACAAGAGATTACCGATGGGGGCTGTGGAAAATTATCATAACGAACTATAGCATCGCTCCATACACGTGCAACATAAATCTATCCATCTATCCAATTCATCAATCAGACCCTAAGCCGCTGCAACCAAATCTATGCATCAGAGGCACATCACCGCACGACTACCACCTATGACATACGGGGCCGCCCTGGTGTTCAGGCTCCATCAACTACGCCACATCATACAGGGTCGCCGTGCTGCGAATGTGGATAATGTTCCAACACTACTCTAAAGAATAGCTAGGGCTTATCCAACTTTGGGGTGAACGTGGTCACGGGATCCTAATGTTAAAGTTAGTAAAATCGTTTAACCCGAGTAGAAGAGAGTTCAGAGTCCCAGAGTAAGGATCGAGGAGTAAAAGATACTAATACCTCCCAGATGGCGACATGGGCCCGTAAGGCACACAACCATGTTAGTAAAAGTTTTTGTAATGTTTAGACTCGACTTCGGCCAAGGAGTATGGAAGAGGGATTCCTACAGGCAGTCGGCTCTGATACCAACTTGTGACGCCCCCGATTTGATCGTACACTAATCATACACGCAAACGTGTACGATCAAGATCAGAGACTCACGGGAAGATATCACAACACAACTCTATAAATAAAATAAGTCATACAAGCATCATATTACAAGCCAGGGGCCCTCGAGGACTCGAATACAATAGCTCGATCATAGACGAGCCAGCGGAAGCAACAATATCTGAGTACAGACATAAGTTAAACAAGTTTGCCTTAATAAGGCTAGCACAAACCGGGATACATATTGAAAGAGGCGCAGGCCTCCTGCCTGTGATCTTCCTAAACTACTCATGGTCGTCGTCAGCGGGCTGCACGTAGTAGTAGGCACCTCTAGTGTAGTAGGAGTCGTCGTCGACGGTGGCGTCTGGCTCCTGGGCTCCATCGTCTGGTCGCAGCAATCGGGTATAGAAAGGGTGGAAAGAGGGAGCAAAGCAACCGTGAGTACTCATCCAAAGTACTCGCAAGCAAGGAGCTACACTACATATGTATGCCTTGGTATCAAATGAAAAAGGGTAGCTTATGTGGACTGAACTGCAGAATGCAGGAATAAGGGGGGATAGCTAGTCCTTTCGAAGACTACGCTTCTGGTAACCTCCATCTTGCAGCAGAAGAAGAGAGTAGATGGTAAGTTCACCAAGTAACATCGCATAGCATAATCCTACCCGATGATCCTCCCCTCGTCGCCCTGTGAGAGAGCGATCACCGGTTGTATCTGGCACTTGGAAGGGTGTGTTTTATTAAGTATCTAGTTCTAGTTGTCATAAGGTCAAGGTAC